TGGGATCTGATTCATTCAGGTCACCTTCTTGTGTTAGCTCAACTCAAGTGAATCTTGGTAAAACTGTTGTTTCGCTGTTCTTGGGAAGTCCCTTGTGCTGCACGCAGCTGCCTGTGTCAAGTGGGAACTAGAGTTGCCTGGCACTAACATGGTTGGTCAGGCTATGAAGTGCGTGTCACAGTAACAAACATCTTCACTGACAAGGAGCCTGAGGAGGCTGGGTAGGTGCTGACCTCACCGCGCCGTGCCGCCAGTGTGTCTGAGGAGAGAGAGGAGAAGTCTGGCTTACTCTGGGTTTTTTGGTATGTCCATTCTTGTAATCCTCCTAAAGCCTTATGTGTAGTTAGGCAAAAAAAAATTTTTTTTATAATTTCAGTAAATCAGATTCATGATGACCATTTATTATTTCAGAGATCCATGCTCCGCGTTCGCCTTCCCTGTCTAGTTACCACTGGGGAGGACATGGTGAAGCTTCATCCTTTTAGCTTTAACAGTACTTCTTGGAATGGGGAGGTCCAGCCTAAAGAGCAGCTTCAGGTTGCTCCATTTCAGCCTGGCGTGCAGAGCGTTTAAAGGTTTTTTTCCTCAGAGCGCATGGTGGTTTGTCTGAATAGAGGCAACAACCATAGACTAGAGGCCGCAAAGAAAACTTGCAGTGTTCCCTAGTGCCACGCGAGTGAAGCGCTTGTTTGGAAATGAGAACCTATTTATGCACCCGTGTGAATGTTTTCTTCTGAAAAGCAGCAGTACTTTCAGTCCCTTCTTGGAGCCTTGGTACCGTGTTGGTCCATTTACCAGGTCTGTTGACTACCTGGCGAGAGGGCTGAGTTGTCCCGTGATTTCCCGCTGCAGCACGTTCCTATAGTACAAGAGGTTGCAGGCCTTTACAGCTCTAAGTGGTTCGAAGGTACTGACTCTAGGGTTAACTTGTAAAGACTGACCCCGAAGCATTCAGCATGGACAGGTTAGTCTGGGGCTTGGGGAGCACTAGCCAGGCAGAGTTTATAGCACTTGGCACTCAAATTTTTTGTGCCTGTATCAGGTAATCAAGTAATCAGGTATGTGGTAGAAATTGAACTTGTGGGAGATTATTACATTTCTCTTAGCCATGTGGCAGTAATCATTTTAACATGGTTATTATTTACTTTTCACTACATGTGAGAAATTTAACAATCTCTCCCTTAGAGACTGTTTTTAGGCCAAAGGCAAACAATTCATTGTATTTGCTTCCAATCAGTTATGTAGTTTTAACTCATCCTAAGATGTCATAAATACTTTTCAGAAGTGTTTCTTTTTTTTTGGCTGGCTCAGGATCCCTTCAGGTCAGGTCTGGTACGGCTTGAGAATCTGGGGATCGAACCACAGCATCCTGATTACTTTAAGAAGTCACTTAAACAACTGAGCTAATGGGCAGGCCCCCCATAAATACTTTTAATGTTTGTATCATATTTTAACAATTAAGTTCATGCAATTTTTCTGTAGTGACTGTATTTGTGTCCCAGTTATATGGACTGATGTATTAAAAATTCTTTACTCTGTATACTCATTTAGTAGGTACAAAATTATAAGGCTAGAAGTAACATTTAAGAAATTATAATCATGTGAAAAAAAAACCTATGTGATTTCTTCCAAATTGATTTCTTATAAAAATAGGACTGATCTCTCTCCCAACAGCACCCTGTGTGGCTGCACGCCCACCTGCAGATCTCGCCTCGGGCAGGGCGGATGTCTCTGTGCCGATTTCCTCTGCTGCAGAGCTGCTGGGCTGGACGCTGGCGTGAGGCTCTGGGAGGCCACTAGTGCAAAGGTATCTGTCTCCTCAGTCTATCTGATACCCTTCGTTTCCACCTGGCTGCCCTAGAACCTACTGGTCACCCTGCCTCTCCTTCATTGTGTCACCTTTGTCTCACAAAGCATAGCTTCCTGTCTTTTTTTTTTTTTTTTTTTT